AGGGAAAGACTTCCTCCCTCCAGCTCTTTGTATAATTCCTCCTTGATAATTAGCCTGCTGTCTGTATTATTTTCGATGCTCAATATACCTACAAAGAATAAGATAAGAGGGTGTCATGGTCACCGTTTTTCATGAAGTCTGGCAGTTTTTCATATGGCCCCAGTGGTCAAACCTACATTCATCCCTAATACAAAAGTCTCAGAGGAAAGAGAAGATGTTAAGCTTACAGAAGATTGCCGAATCTTCTCTCTGTAACCACAGTGCTCCCTTGGGCCCAGAAAACCTACATGAGGCCTCTAACTCTGTGAGGCCAGGGTTGTTACTGAAGTCCAACTCCCAGCAGTGAACTAGGAGAAAGGAGGAAAAATCTGGACCTGAGTGTTTCTAGTTATTCCTTCTTCCTTCTCTCCTAATTTTCTTTTCTCTTTGCTGTTACAGTGTCTTGTGATTTGTTTTTTCTCCTCTTCAGCCCATCAGCCTGGATTCCAGGCCTCTGTGCTGACTCCTGTTACTCAGCCATTTGCTCCATCTACTGGATTAATGAATCAAGAAATAGTCACGATGGATACCAACTCTGCTGAATGGAGCAAGGGAGCAGCAGACTGGTCAGAGGCTGGCACTTGCAGCACCCAGAGATAAATCTAGTTCACAGAATGAGATCATCTTTCGCAGGCCATTCAAGAATTATTATGAAGGGATTAAACAATTCGGCAGAAGTGCAGGAAGAGGAAACATTTATAAGGGAGAAACAGTATAGCTTGCTTACAAGCCATTCTGTGGGAATGCAAATGGGTACACACTGATTAACAGACTAAAGGGAAGGAGAGCAGGATGGTAAAGGGGAGAAAATGAGCCAGAAGAGGGTGGCTACAAGTCCAACCAAGTAATCCTGTTCTACCACCACACAAATACCTCAAAGCTAGGTAACCGGAGGAGACAGAACCATACAGCCTTGGTGCCTACTTTAGAAAACACACAACCATCCCAACAAACACGCACAGCAATCTCACAGTGCAGCAGAAAAGTTTGCCATGACCTAACCAGAGCGCTGGCATTGAGAACATGCTTTCAGCTCTAGCATATTGTCCAACTCCATGACCAGTTCTTCTAACATGTCAGATTTCTGCAAAAAAAGACCATTAATGTATTCAGTCATACAGTATCAGTATCATTAAAAATATATATAAACACTGGTCTGATGCCATATATATATTTCCCTCAACCTGATCTTATTCTGTGTCTTAAAATACTGATCTTTTCAGAGAAGTTGTTATTGTTCTGGTAACGAATTTTATTCCAGGGTGCATGTCTATAACAGTCCAACACTCGCTCTCCCACCAACTCCTGGAATAGGATAGTTATAAGGACTGAGGATACGATAAGTTCACAGGAGGCCACAGCCAGCCCTGAGCCTGCAGAGCTATGGCACCTTGGAAATTAGCTTCATTTTTAGAAACACAGCTTCTTACTCTTAGCAATAGGAAGACAGTCTCCCATCTGATCCAGAGAGGTGGGAGCTCTGACCAGATTCTGCAGAAAGATGGGAGGATGGGACAGTACAGTGTCTGTCAGGCAGCTGCTGATTGTACTTTGTCTCTTGCACCCCAAGGTGGCTGCGCAGGATGATACTGGGCACTGCATAGCACCAAGCCCCCTAATGTCATAAGTACACGTCTTATGTATGACACAGTCTCTGGTGGAAAATCCTTGATCTATTTTCATAGTTGGCAGTAATTTTCTAATGCATGGTCCAGAATAGGTTAAAATATCACATCCCTGTTCAGAAGCTCTCTGAAGCTGGGCTGTCTCTGCAACTCTTCTTCACAGAGTTTCTTTACCTGAATAATTGCTGCAGACTGCACCAAATTCAATCCATGCATGAGTTCACTGGCTCAGTAACATAATCCACTCCCAACACTCTCTTCCATGCTGGTATATTTGAAGCCAGTGTGGAATCCACCTCTATGGTACAAAGAGGGTGCAGACTGCCCCCTGACTAGCACAGTCTATGTCTCCCTCTTACCCACAAACATGCAAAAGGACTGGACAGCCAAGGGCTCCATGGCATTAGCCAACTGGTGGAATTCAATCCAAGGAGGAGATCCTAGTTTCAGTGAAACCAGTGGAAGTTCTCCATTGACTTAATGGAGCCAGAATTTCATCTCCGATTAATTAAATCATTACAAAGACAAGTCTAACTGGTTTGGTCTTGCAAACCTATTATAATGGGACACCTTTTGTTTGAACTATAGAAGACATGCAGCCAAAGGCAGAAGCTTAAAGGAAAGCAGGATTACATACAAGAGCATTCCTCTAGAGAACACAGTGAAGCCTCTTTTGGTGAGCCAGCACAGCCTGGTTCTGCTGGCAGTGATGAGAGACATTCTCTGTGTCGCTCCCGCATGCCATCCCCACAGGTCACGCTGCACGGACTCCAGGGCTGCCACATGCTCCATGTTTCTGTGGATGTAGGAGAGGAGAACAATGAGGAGTACAGACTGATGCCCTTCACCTTACAGTTAAACAATCACCTATCCTGTCCAGGAAATATGAGAGAAGCAAGGATTCTTTTGGTGATATCTTTTTATTGGACCACTGTGTTGTTGGAAGAGACGAGGCTGCACATAGATTGTACTTGATTCTCCCCAGGCCTGAAGAAGCGGACTTTGTGCCTATAAAGTTGTCTAATATCCCTTTCATCTATAAACTTGGTCCAAAGGATATCCCCTCAAAAATACTCTTGCTTTCTTTGTATAGAAACATAAATAAAAAATTGCAAATCATGACACTGGAAAACACCCTGGTGCCTCACCCAGCTTCCAATAAGGGCAGGGGCAAAGCTCCCATGGTCGCCAAGATTGAGCCCTTGTCTCTTAACTTCTATTCATAGAATTTGCCCAGAACAACAGCAAATTGAAATGAGCCCACAGGTCTTTCTAATGATGTAGTAGTTCATATATTTCACAGATCCCAACTCCCATCTCACACTAGCGTAACTTTTATTGACTTATACAGTTACTCCTGATTTGTAGTGCTGCTTGAGCAAAATGAGTCCCAAAGGACTATTGAAAAGCAATGTTGGTTCCCCTTTTATCTTCTTAGTAAGCAAATGTGTTATTGAACAGCTACTGTGACAGTTTATAGCTCCCTATTGTTTTATTGCTGAAAGGTACTCAATAATTTAGGATGACACTTTAGATGTAGTTTTGTTTTTTAATGAAAGAAAATTCAGAGGGGGAAAAAGATGCTGACCTCAAAGAAAGCGAGACCAGCTTTTGGCCAAGTGAGGGTGGGGCCATTATAGAAGCTGTGGGAAGCTCCAGGAAGCTCCTATTTAAGGGAAATATTTTCGTGATTTGTTTTAAGGAAAACAAAAGCTGCTTTTGATTTGGCTTTGAAAGTTCTCATGCAGTGGTCATAACCTAAACCTCAGAGCACTGAGACTCTTAGGAATTTATCCCTGCTAATAAGAATTGGCTGGCTTACATGGCTTGATTTAAAATGGACCAGAAGCAAAACCAATAAACTGACTGATCTATTTTCACTGTCCAGGAGCAAAATGAAAAAAAAAAGTACATAAATTATAAAAAATAAAACAAGTTATCTTCAATTCTCTTTGTTTAATAATATATAGTGTTGCTACTACTAACACAGGTCTTAAGATCTGTTTTCTGTTTCATGATTCTTAAGCTGCCTTGACATTTTTTAGTTCACAATTTATGAACTGTTCTCATCACTGAATGAATCAAAGAATGCTGCAGGACAGAGCAGTTCTGTAGTTTCATGTTCCATTAGGTACGGTATGGCTCGTGCTCCATTATTATTTTTAAATGGCTCAAAGGGATTCAGTGCTGCTGTATTTGAATTAACTGTGTTGGGCCCCAATTGTACAAATGTTTGCAAACAACCAGTGCCAGTGCCCTTACACATGGGAGTAGAATTAGTGACCTCACGGAAGTGCTCCTGCCTGTAAAGCTACTTTAGCACAGCACGTGCCAAACCCAGAAACAGGGTGGTTAAGTCTCCCTGAGGCATCCCCTGCTACTACTCTCAAGGACCAGAGAGAGGGCTTGGGTACTGAAGTGGGGGGGGGCCATTCCCAGGGTGCTTCACAGCCTTATTTCTAGGTTTGGTATGTGCAGAGTTGGGGGTTGGGCTGTGTTTCACAGCAATGCTCTCAGCAGAAAGGAGCAACCCTGTTCATAGGAACATGTCTATAGGCTAGCGATACAACAGCTAGCATTAAACATGCAATTTCAGGCACCAAAAGCTGTCTACCCACAGTAGCACAGGGGTTGGTCCAGGCTACTTTAATGCAAGCAGCAAGGTAAATAAATCTGCCCACTGATCTCCACACTGCCATGGCTGGACTGCTTCCTGCTTGCTTCCATGCTCATCGAAAGCAAGGTCAGGCAGGTCTTCCTATACTACCCTGAAACCTGCAATGCAGATATATTCTTAGGTACATCTCAATGTTATCCTTATTAATTGCATTAAAATGTAGGCCTGATCCCATGAGGTGGTGAGTGCCTTTGTCATTCACTTCAGTGGGAGTCGAGGGGGTTCAGCAAATCACATGGTAGGGGACCCATGGACTTAATAAAATACCCGCAGTTTAGATCAGAGGTATTTTCTAGACCTGATCCTCTGAGATGCCTGTTACCCTCAGCTCTGCATCGACTGCAGCAGGAGCTGAAGGTGCACACTTCCTTGCACAAAGTGTTTTTCACCTTGCCAGTCAGGGGCTCATAATCAAACTCTCTGTCACAGCAGGCGAGCAGGCTATTACCCTGCCTCTGTGCAATGTAGGAAATCAAGCTTCTGTGCCTTGCTCTGCAAGCTACTGGAATTACAAAATCAAAAAATGAGACACATCTTGTTCTTCCCCAAGGAAACAAAATCATTAACTTTCATTTAAGACAAATGAATCCAAAAGCGCCAAGAGAAAAATCTTTGTTGCTTTGCAAAAGACATGTACAGCAAACTAATTCTTTGAATGCTTAACAGAAAACTAGGGAACCTCTCAACATAGGAGCGTTAACTGGAAAAGTAGTTTGAAACATATTGGATAGTCTGTAATCATGGTACATGTATGTGAGTGACTAAATAGACTGTTAATTTGTGTAGCATCTCCAGCCCACTTGTGAGTTCTCCCTCTATCATGCAGTCAAACACCTAGACGTTCAGACACTACCCCCATGGCTAATGCGTGAACACTGCTGAGAAGCACACACCCCAGCATGTGCCTGAAAATCAGGCCACGTAACTTGTTCACCCTGGCTAAGAAGCATGCCTGAGGCAGATGGCCTGACAGCAGCTACAGGCACATGCTCAGGCTGCACTAAACCAGTCCCATTTACCTAATGGTGCACTCAAACAAGGGAGTGGGCAAGGTGGTGCTCCCAAGCTCATAAAAAAGGCAGGGTACATGTCCTTAAAGTAAAGTACGATCCAACAGAACAGCCAGATTGGAACAGCAGGCCTAATCCTATGATCCGTATTTAAATGAAACTCCTCAACATAACCACCTGGGAATAACAAGCTGCCATGTCTGTAAATATCTACTCCAACCCTGGATACAGCCAGTCTGGAATCAAACCTGAGCAAATCAGACTATTTTTTACCCCCAAAAAGGACCCCTCAAAATTCTACATTAAAGCGCTTAAAAATAGTCAGAATAGCCTATACTCTCTCAGAAGTGTTCGTCTGAGTATGTCACAGTTTACAACAAAAGCTTATTTTGGAATGTGGAGATAAGGATTTAATCATGCCCACACTGGTGTACCAGTGGGAGAAAGACTGGCCCCCAAAAGCCTCGTAAGTCAGGCCTGGCTCTATAACCTGGAGCTCTTTCCTGCAGCTCTCTCATACTGCTGTCATATCTAATTACTTTGAATTATTTATCTAAAAATAGAATTTGGAAACTGTGCCAGATATAAACTTAGGCTATAGGACTAGTTGGTTTTCAGATCTTCTTAGGAATCAGACAGATGCAGGTATGACTAATACAATCTTATTCATTCAGGGAACAAGAATTTTATAGCCTTCTATCTCTGCTGCTGTTCACCTCTGGCACACTGCAGGGTATTTTGGGTTCTGTTACGTGCTTGGGGGTTGTGGGGCATGAGAGGCTGGAGTGGAAGATTTTAGGACTCTGAATAAATAGGTGCACATGAAATTAGAGGAGTGGACTCGATGGCCCCACAGGCCTATTTCTCCGATTTTAACCTCTCCCAAGCTCCTACTCTCCTTTGGTGACTACTGTTCCCTTCTCATGGTAGTTCTCCCCCATCTCCCTTCATTAGTGGCTTTCTCAAGTTGCTGTTGATTGCATTTCTCCTCTATCCTTCTTACTGGGCGCCTCTACACATGATGCTATGGCAACGTAGCAACACAGGCAAGAACCATGACACCACAGCTACTTCGCTGTAGCAATGTGCTCCCTCGTTATAGTGTGTTGCTACCGCGATATAGCAGCTAAAAATAACCATGTGCTGCACGCATGGCACAGTACAGGCTGTTGCTGTGCTGTCATTTAGTACTTCCAGAAGGAAGTTTTAAATGATGGTGAAGTAACAAAGGTGCCGTAGGGATACATGTAGACATGCCCACTGTTCACTAAGAGCCCTAGGGGTCAACATTCAGCTCTGATGTAAGCAAGAACAATTCTTGTTAGCTGGGAGTTGCAATCAGGCTAAATTTGGTCCCCAGGGTACTAAGAAGGTGTGTGTCTACATGAGATACTTTACTGCACATTAGAATAATCTAATGTGTAAAGCATCAATCACTGTCTACACATGCTTGGCAATTACTTTGCATTAAATCAGTCTAATGAGCCGTTTGCTAGTACCAATACATACATGTACAGTACTAGAAAAACACTGCATTAACTAATGCTTAGTAGTACACGTGTAGACTCTGACCGGGAGTAAATTGCTCCTGGTTAGCCCAGGCAGCAGGGGCCACAATGACTGCCTGGCTAAGCCCCCAAGCTCTGGGAGATTGGAGGAGCTGTTCTGGCTCCTGGGGCAGCTCCCTCCCAGCCAAGGGGAAAGCGGGACTGGCCTCTGGAGCTGGGACAGCTCCCCCTGACCCCCTGGGGCTTGGGGCAAGCCCCATGCCCCCTGCCAGCCCAGGACTGCTCCTAGTGTCCCCTGCTCCCTGCCAGCTTGGAGCTCCCCCTGGCTGCTGCAGGAGGGCAGAGTGGGCCAGAAGCAGCCCTGGACTGCGCAATTTGCTCCTGATGCAGCCACATGTATAGATGTGTACTAGGGAGCACATTAATTGCACACATAGATGTGGCCAAGGGTGATAAAATTAAGACTGGAAAAGTCAAGTGTGCCTTCCCAGTACTACATGTGTCAAGATAACCCTTTCTTCTGCATAGAAAGCCGCATAATAAAATAATAAGATTTTATTATTTTCATTACTGATTAATGTTATTAATGCAATGGCTAAGG